CTGGGGAAGCAGACGGGGCAGCAAGCATCCATCATTCCTCTGTGTGTGCACGTGTGCGCGCACACATGCAGGTGCGTGTGTCATATACATGGCTTGGGACTGAAGGGATGTGCCCAAGCCACACAGCTCTTCGGTGGTGCAGCCCGTGGGCTGGTGAGCCTGCGGTCCTCAAGTCTGCAACCGCATCCTCTGGAGTGAGTGCCTGGGCTCCAGGAATACCAGAGGGCTGGAACATGCAATCCAGCAGTGTCAGAGCCTCTCCACACGCAGCCCTGACGTCCTCGGAGCTCCCCTGCGCCCATCCTCAGCGCAGCCCTGGGAAACCTACCAAAGATGTGCCCAGAGGTCAGAGCGGGCCAGGAGTAGAGCTCCCTCCACCCTGGAGCTGGGTGCTCCTGGCCTCCCCTGCCTCTGGAGGCCCAGAAAAGGAGAGTCGGGAAAGGCCATCACAAAGGGGCTCTAGGGGAGTCCAAGCCCCAGTCAAGCCCCCTCAGATTCAAGGTGGATCAGCTTAGGCAACCATTTATGTCTTGGGGCGTAAGATAGATTTTCTCTGGGAGTCGGTGGGCCCAGGCCCTGGGTGTGCTTTGACTTCCCCCAACTGAGCTCCAGTGTGAGGATTCACTTCCTGTCTCGAGTCCTTACAAGTCTCCTGAAACTGATGGGCTGGCCACCCTGGGCAGGTCCCTTGCAGTCTCTGGGCCGCTGTGTCTTCCCATCTGTCCCTAGCCATGCTCACCAGTCCCTATCAGCCGCAGCGCTGTGAGGCATGCAGCAGGACGTGCACTTGGGCTGGCGCACCGTGTGGGCGCACGTGTGGACCTGCGTGTAGGTGCATCTGTAGGCAAACCAGCCTTAGGGGTGTTGCGTACACGTGCGCACACACACACACACACACACACACACACACACACACGCATGCGCGTGCGTGCGCTTCAGTTTTACATCCGCTGCCCCGCAGAAGCCCTGATTCCTGTAAGCTGCCTGTGGCTTCCTTCTCCTGCCCCAGCCGCAGCTGTGGAGAGCCAGGCATGGACACAGGCATCTGCCCCAGCACAAACCCACAGTCGCCCCAGGGAGCTCGCCACACCTTCCCTCTGCCCAGATGAAACCGCTTCCTCCCAGAGCCCCAGCCCAGACCCAGCCCCTGCCCGGCCCCTGGGGACCGCAGTGGGCGGCTGGCCAGGCCTTGGGAAGGAGCCAGCCCTAAGCACCCAGCTAGGTAGCCAGAAACCAGAGGCTGTCGACCCCCAGGCCCAAACTCCTGGTGTTCGACACATCAGGTTTGGCCGCTCACCCCTATCCATGAGATGTGGAGATAGGGTGAAGGGCAGAGAAAGCAAGTTTATTATGTGGTCGCCCTCCTTCAGGGCACAGACAGACGTGAGAGATTTTGCAGACCACGAACTGGAGGGGCGGGGCCGCGGAGAGGTGAGCACAGGTAATGAGGCAGCCTCAGTCACTCAGGAGAGCGCCAGAGAGGCTGTGGGCACGCTGGTCCTGAGGTTTTTGACTGTCGTCTTCCTTTGGCTGTCCAATGACCAGAAGAAGACGCTGTCCAGCTGAGGGACAGCCAGAGCACTTGCTCAGACTGTGCAGGAATCACCTCCCCTCCCCCCTCCAGCTGCAGGGGCCCCGGAAGGTCCCTGCTGCAGCTGCGCTAGGGAAGGCTGAGTCTCACGTCCTTCCAAAGCCAGCCGCCTCGACACAGTGCTGCCCGCTGGCCTGACCCCAAGAGGGTCACATGTCCCCTAAGCCTCTGTCCTGGACATTGGGCTGGTCAGCTTTGGAGAAACTGCCCCTGTCTTCTGGCTGAACCCCCCCATCCAAAAGCCATCTGAACATCATGCCCTGGCTGCATTTTGAGGTCTCCAGTACCTCCCTCCTCATTACATTACCAATCACAGGCAGAGCCAGTAAAGCACTAAGGGAGCGATGCAAACAGGCCGAGGGATGCTAGGCTCCACTTTCTGGAAGTTTCACTTTCCCAGAACTAGGCTCATTGTGAGAAAGAGGGTCTATTGGTTTCTTGTTTATGCCCCAGGAGAATTTTCACGTAAACAAGCTCACCTGACTGGGGTTGTCACCTGACACCCTCTGTGTGACCCAGATGTACCTGGTTGCCGGCACAGCAGAGGTTCCGGATGGCAGCTCCCTTGGGGATATTGTGATGTGTTTTCTCACCTGTGCTGATGGGAGGACTCCAGCTTGGGAGGGCCGCGGGCTCTGCCTCTACCTCAGTCTGGCTGTGTGGCCTTGGGCAGACACCCCCTGGGTACTTGTTGCTATTGTTGTTTGTTGTTGTTCTAGTTGAAAACCTTCCTGAAGTGTTAGTTAGCTTCCCATCATTGTAACAAAAACACAAGACACCCAACTTACAAAGAGGAAAGGTGGGTTTCGGTCCGTGGCCTTGGAGGTCTCCCTGCATGGACAGTCAGCAAATGCTGTTGCTGGCTTGTATTTGGAGGAGGACAGGGGACACGTTCAGCGTCATCCTGTGCACCTGGGACAGCCGCCTTCGCCATCAGGCCTGAGGCACCCTGGCTTCTGTCATTCCAGCGTGCAGGGAGAGAAGGGATGGATCCCTGCAGGTCATGGTGGCAGGCAGTTACGCCAGGATGGAGTGAGGATTCCATCAAAGGCTAAGACACATCAGGCCGGCAGCAGCACACTGGCAGGCCAGAGGTGTCTCTGGTCAGCATGGAGACGAGGCTTGGAGGAGGCTCACACTAAAGTCCTAGTGACCCAGGTGGCTGAGATATGGAAGATCAGAGTTCCAGGCCAGCCCAGGTAGAAAAAGTGGGCTAGGCTCCTTCTGAAAAATAACCTGCAAAGACATGGCTTAAGTGGTAGAACGCCAGTCTAGCAAGTGTAAGGCCCTGCGTTCAAACTCCAGTACTGAAAAACAACCAAACCCACCCTCTTGCGGATGGTTTGGAGCTGTGAGGAGCTGTGAGTACAAAGTCTGCCATGAAGTGGGGCTGTGGGCATGGCTCAGACTGGTTGTGACCTAAAGGATTCCCTGGTGTAGGGTTTGTAGATTTTGTTGATTAGGGACATCCAATTTGGGAGAGGAGGAGGTTGGTTGTGGGTATTGAACTCAGGGCCTGGGAACGAACCCTGAGCTTCTCTGCTCAAGGCTAGCACTCTACCTCTTTGAACCACAGCACCACTTCTGGTTTCCTGGTGGTTCATTGGAGATAAGAGTCTCACAGACTTTCCTGCCTGGGCTGGCTTTGAACCACAATCCTCAAATCTCAGTCTCCTGAGTAACTAGGATTGCAGGAGAGAGCCACAAGCACCCAGCTGGACAGCCAGTTTTTAAGGAGAAATTTCCTGGGATTTCATCTGAAAAATTTAGGTCTGAATATTTTTTTTCTTTTTTTCCAGGCTTGGGGCTTCAACTCAGGGCCTGGATGCTGTCCTTGAGCCTCTTTGTACACAAAGCTAGGACTCTACCACTTGAGCCACAGTGCCACTTCTGTCTTCTTCTATGTAGTTTATTGGAGATGAGAGAATCTCACGGACTTTCTTGCCCGGGCTGGCTTTGAACCATGATCCTCAGATTTTAGCCTCCTGAGTAGCTGGGATTACTGGTGTGAGCCATTGTCACCCAGGTTGTTATTTTTTTGTTTTTTGTTTTTTTCCCCCCTGGTGTGGGGCTTGAACTCTGGACCTGTGCGCTGTCCCTCAGCTCTTCAGCTCAAGGCTAGCACTGTACCAATTGAACCACAGTGCCACTTCTGGTTTTCAGGTGGTTAACTGGAGATAAGAGTCTCAGGACTTATCTGCCTGGGCTGGCATTCAATTGTGATCCTCAGATCTCAGCCTCCTGAGTAGCTAGGATTACAGGTGTGAGCCACTGGCGCTCAGCACACCAAGCTTTTTAAATAGTCAATATTTGTAAACAACAATTGGCAATGACTTTAACTGCCCCCTACAGGATATTGGCTAGATATGGACAGAGACTACTGGAGTGTTAGACTATCATTCAAGACCATGCAGAAGGGTATTTATTGGTGTGGAAGATGTTACTCAGTGAAAACAATGTGCAAATACCTTGTGTATACAATCCTATATAGTTTAAACCCTGTAATTTAACATACTCAAAAGTTAACACTGGTGACTTTTGATTTATTTTACAATTTTTTGTTCTCAATTTCCTGTTTTCAATCGTCTACAACTAACATGCATTTCTTTCATGAAAAAGCATGGTAATTTATTAACTTTAAAATTATTTGATAGCCGGTCACAGGTGGCTCACACCTGTAACCCTAACTACTCAGGAGGCTGAGATCCCAGGGTTATGCTTGGAAGCCAGCCCGGGCAGGAAATATTTGATAGTAAAATACAAAAAGCAAAATCTATGAGCGCAGTCCCATCCCCTTTCCCTTCCAACTTCGTCCTTACAGTACTTTGTAAATTGACACATGATTGTGTACATTTATGCGAAACAGTGGGGTGCATTGTGCCTGCGCGCACCAGTACTGGGGTTTGAACTCAGAGCCGGGGTGCCGTTCCTTAGCTTTTTCGCGTCAGGCTGGTGCTCTGCCGCTGGAAGCCACAGCTCCACCTCCTAGTGTGACACTGACACAGGTATACTTTATGTAATCAAGAGACTAATTAGCCGGGGCTTACATAGATCATTTCCTGACTGGGTACGTAATTTATTGTACAAATTGAGTATTACATGACAAGTTGACATTAGCCTCTCCAGGCTGGGGGATTTAACAGATGAGCTCAGAAAATTTAGAACCCATTTTCGTTGTTCTGCCTCCCCGGCGCTCCCAGAATTTCATTCATTCACTGCTACTTCGGGGGCGTTTATTTACTTGACGTACGCATGCGCACTCCCGGGGGCTAGAGAGGGCCGCCTGGCCCGTTGGTCCCGCCTCCCGTCGCTGGTTATTGGCCAGCCCTTCCAGCGCGCTCCTGATTGGTGGCTGCGGACTAGGCCTCGCTGCCTATCAAAGTTGGCGGGAAGGCGGCTGCGACGCAGGATGGCGGCGACCGAGGGTGCGCCGGGCGCCGGCGGCCCCGCGGCCGTGCGGTTGCCGCGGTCGCCGCCGCTCAAGGTGCTGGCGGAGCAGCTGCGGCGCGACGCGGAGGGCGGCCCGGGCGCGTGGCGGCTGTCGCGGGCGGCGGCGGGCCGCGGGCCGCTGGAGCTGGAGGCCGTGTGGATGCAGGGCACCGTGCTGGCGGCGGCCGGCGGCGAGGCGCGGCTGCGGGACCCGAGCGGGGCCTTCTCGGTGCGCGGCCTGGAGCGGGTGCCGCGCGGGCGGCCCTGCCTCGTCCCAGGTAACCGGGCTCGGGCTGGACCTGCGCCCCACAGTCCTCTGGGGTGGGGCTCGCGGGGGCCAGGGAGGCCGAGAATGTGTGCCCCTAGGGGCGGGGGGTCCGGGGGGGGCGCTGGGAGCTCCCTTTGAGCTTTGGGGCGGCCCGGGCTGTGGCCCTGGCAGCTTAGCTTCAGAGCCTGTTTTCCATAGGTGCCCTGAGAACTGGTTTATTCCACGTGTCAGGCGTTGGACACCCGCTAATGCCCGGGGTGTCCACTGATCCTGTGCAGGCCCGGGGTGTCATGCTGGCCGCCTGGGCCGCAGAGACCCAGGGGCAGCCTGGGAACCGACTCCCCTGGGGACCCTTGGTCCCTCCAGAGCTTGTGTGGGGTGGCAGGAGGCCGCTACCTCCAGACCTAACCTGTGGAGTCGTCGTCTCTCCCCACCTCCTCCCCATCCCAGGGCCCTTCCTTTTCTGAGAATCTGGATTCTAACTGGAGGCGGGGCCCTTGGTCTAGCCTGCACGGCTTGGGACTTAAAGGTTGAATTCCTGGCCCACACCTTTCTCATTACGCTGTCAGAACTTTTAAACTTTCTGGATTTATTCTCTGAGCAAAAAGACCCAAAGCCTGCTGTGTGCATGTCAGGGAGACCATGACCCAAAGGTGGCTGCCCTCCTGGGTGAGGCCGCAGCCTACTGTGACTCTTGCTGTCTATGACATGTTCAGGGTCCCCCCCCATGCCCCAGCCCCACTCCTCAGCCTTAGCTCCAGCCCAGAACTGACGAACTTCAGGTCCATACTACTTGTCACTTAGCCTGCCAGCTAGAAATGCGTGTGATGTTTTTAAGTGGCTAAAAGAAATCATCATGACATGAAAAAACGTATATGTAATTCACAAGTCAGTAATTCACAGGCAGGTGCTACTGGCTCACATCTGTAATACTACTCAGGAGGCTGAGATCACAAGAGCTCAGAAGCCAGTCTGGATAGAAAAGTCTTCAAGGTTCCATCTCGAATTAATCAGCAAAAAGCCAGGATGGAGGAGTGGCTTATGTGGTAGAGTGCCAGCTGTAAGTGGAAATAGCTAAGTAAGAGTGGGAGGCCTTGAGTTCAAACTCAGGTACCAAAAAAAGAAAAGAAAAAGTGAAGTTTTATTGAAACACACTTGTAGTTTCCATAAGTGTAAGGTCAGTGTCCCACTCTACCCATAGAAGTGAGCTGTGACATAGACTACAGTCCAAAAGGACTTAAAATAGTAACTATCTGACCCTTTACAAAAAGTCTCTGCCATCCCTGGCTATAAGCAATGAAGCTTGGGGTCTCAGCAAAGCCCCCTCTCCCGTCTCCCCAATCCTGGGGCTTGAATTCAAAGCGTGGGCACTGTCCTTGAGCCTCCTGTGCTCATGGCTAGCACTCTGCTACTTGAGCCACAGCACCACTTCCAGCTTTTTCTGAGTAGTGTATTGAAGATAAGAATCTCACTGTCCTGCCTGGGCTGGCTTCAAACCGTGATCCTCAGATCTCAGCCTCCTGAGTAGCGAGGATTACAGGTGTGAGCCACTGGCACCCAGCCAGGCCAAGCCTCTTGAAGGCAGTCTTGGGCAGTCCCCCAAGTCTAGTGAGGGTCATGTGGGAAAAGAGAAGGGCAGACACTGGAGAGGGCATGGGGCGTGACCCCCACGGTCACCAGGATGTCATGTGTCTTGCTGCCTTGCTCTGCAAGCCAGGTGTGCACCTTCCTGGCTGGTCCGACAGCCTGGCCTGGGCTTTAGCCCTTCCATGTGTGGGCTTTCATCTCCACTGACTGAGGAGACCCCTGGGGTGTACAGCTGAGGGACCCGAGTTGAGCGTGGGCATGGATGCTGAGAGCTGGCAGTATCTTGCCAGGGCGAACTCAGCGCTGGGCGGCCAAACCCTGCGCTTGCGCTCAGACTCAGCCCTGACCAGGAAACGGGGCATGCCATGGGGCTGGCCGCCTGCCTGCCCTTCCTGCAGTTTGGAGAATTCTTTTTTTTTTTAAACACAATTGCATTTTGTGTGGTTTGTGACTAGCCAAGCTGTGCTTTCAAGGAGAGTCATTTCCCCCAGGGACTGGAAGAGAGTCGTGGTTAATACCGTGGCATTAGATCATCCTCGTGGCAGCCTGCCCTTGCCTTGACGACTGGTGTGTGCCCAGCGCTGGCCGGGCGGGACAGAGCCGGAGGTGGCAGGAATTAGCGCTGCACACTGCACAGTGGGCCAGTGTGTGTGTGGAGAGGGGCAGGGGGAGGGGCTGTGTATGCCCAGCTTTTTGGCAACCTGGGGAAGGGAAGATTGGATTTGCTTTTCGGCTGTCAGGAAGTGGCTTTGCAGACAGCGGTCTGCACAGAAAGCCGGCACGGCCTGGCAGGGAGCACGGAGCAAGAATTAGAGGAGAGCTTGGCTTTTCTGCCCCTGGCCTGGGAGTGTGATTAGAACTCGTCGCCCCTGGAGGCTTGGTGCATGAAGACACAGGCGGGTGAAGATTTGAACACAGAATGTCCTCTGGTTGAACATTTATGTCACCAGGAATAGATGCATCATTTCAGGCTGCTAGGCGTATGCTCTGTGCTCAGCCTCCTAGCTGCCCTGGGCCCCGATGGTTTTCTATGTCCTTTCCCCGTCCATGAGGCTTTGCTGCCCACAGCCAGGGCGCCGAGGGGCTCAGGCAGGAGCCTCACCCCGGTCCTCTTTGCTGTCTTCCTAGGAAAGTACGTAATGGTGATGGGAGTGGTCCAGGCCTGCAGCCCCGAGCCCAGCCTCCAGGCCGTGAAGATGACGGACCTGTCCGAAAACCCAGTGCACCAGAGCATGTGGGAGCTGGAGGTGGAGGACTTCCACCGCAGCCTGCCTTAGTTCCCACCGTGCTGGCCCCAGCCAGAAATGTTAGTGCCTTGAGCACCTCCGGCCAGCACTTGGGGTCCAGTTCTCAAAGGGTTCTGGGAGAGGGATTGCTGCTAGGGTGGGTGTCCGCCCAGCCATGGCGGCCCGCCACAGTTCATCATACTGGAAGACTCCAGCTCCCACCTCCACCGTCCCCTGATGAAAAGTGATGGTTCTTTCTCCATGACCACCCTGCCATCGCTGCTGGAGTTTCAGACACTGCCCGCGGTGACTAGACACAGACAGGGAGAGAAACGAGGACCGGCGTTAACTCAGGGTTTTCTCACCTCCCCAAGATGGGGCACAGATTCAGATCTCCTCTGCTTGGATTCCACCAAGATTCCAGCCGCTTCCTTCCTGCACTCCAGAAAGCACTGGTGGTGACAGCGGATTCCTGCTGGGAACTAAGTGGTTGCTCAATGCAGCCCAGCCCAGCCCAGCCTGCCCTCTGGGAGCCGTTCTGCCTCACCATTGGGGGACCACGTGTATCCCCCACACCAGCAGGGTTTTACCTGATTGTCAATATTCTACCACTGACAAATTTGTATCCAGTGTCTGCTTTTGAAAACAGTTTTGCTTTTTTTTTTTTTTTTCCCCAAGCAGGTTTTGGTTGGCAGGAAGTAGAGATCCCACACTGTGCGTCCTGTTGCTAAAGTCTCCCTGGGGAGCCTCGGCTGGCCTCACACTCCTCCTCCTGCGTGCTGTGATGTGGTGTGCTGTTTCGGTTGGGCAGCAGAGTCTTACAGCGAATGCTACATGGATGCCCTCTCTCCGTGCTGAGCCTTTCTCCTGCCAAGGGCCATTTGGTGGTCATGACCCCGTTAGTACAGGCAGCCAGGAGCAGCCACCACGAACATGTCCATCTGGCATTTACCAAATGATCTGCCGGGCCTTCACCCTGCGCCACCTGCAGTCAGTAGTTGGACATTAGGGTGCACTGTGCAGTATACATTCTGGGGGCTTTGCCAAATGTATGATGGGAGAGTGCCCACCCTTACAGCGCCACGCAGGACTTGCTCCGCCTAGGAACCCTCCCAGCCCTCCCCAGGCCCCATCCCATGATGGTCATTTGGCGGGGCTGTGGTCGGTCTAGTATTAAACCCCCAGCCTGGCACCGCCACACCCCAGCAGCAAGAGACAGTAGTTCTCAAACCATGACAGCTAGAACAAATGGGAAGCAGTTGTGTTCATTGTGGATCTGGGTTTAGCTGTATGAAGTTTGTTGTGAGCTAGTTTGTTTTTGTTGTTGTTGTTGTTCTGTTTTTTGTGTCTGTCTGGGGTCTTGAACCCAGAGCCTGGCTGCTATTGTCCCTGAGTGTCAAGGCTAGTGCTCTACCACTTGAGCCACAGCTCTACTTCTGGCTTTTTTTTTGGTAATTACTTAGAGATAAAAGTATGTTTCTGCCTGGGCTGACTTCACAATCCTCAGACAGCCTCCTGAGTAGCTAGGATTGCAGGCCTGAGCCACCAGCGCCCGGCGTGAGTTGGTTGTGTGTGTGCCGTGTGGAGGTTTTCAGGATAACTGGCTTCAATAAGAGCTTTGCAGTCCTGTAGATCTACATTTGAGTCTCATCCATTGCTAAACTAGTGCTAGGTGGCTTTGAGCTGGTCGTCTAACCTCTCTGTTCTTATCAATAAAACCCAAATTGTACCCAGATGATAGCAACTGGTACGAGGAGTAAAGATGCCATACACCACTTTTACACAGTGCCTTGCTGGGAGAATTGGAAAGTTCTTGCTTACTTTGTGTGCGTGTATATGTGCGCATGCATTTATTTAGAAGGTTTTAGATCTACAGGAGATTTACAAAGATAGCATGGGGTTCCTATAAGCTTGCATTCAGCTTTTCCTCTATCACTAATACAGTGTATTAGAACAGCAACTACTGCAGGAATAGTGAGATGTTATAAAGCCAAGTCTGGTTTATAGGGCTTCACAGTCCTCACCTGACCCCATGGAGTCGCTGTGGCCCCCCCAGGCTCTCTTTGATTGTGTCATGTTTTGGAGACAGTCTCACTATGCTGTCCAGGCTGACTGGACGGCCTCCTCCTGCCCCGCCTCCCCTGTGCACAGCCGGGCGCCAGCGGCTCACACCACCCGGCTGCTCAGGAGGCTGAGATCTGAGGATCATGGTTTGAAGCCAGCCCCGGCAGGAAAGTAAGTCCATAAGACTTGTCTCTATTTAACCACCAGAAAAACAGAAGTGGCACTGTGGCTCAAAGTGACACAGCACTAACCTTGAGTATAAAAGGCTTAGAGAGCTGGGCACCGGTGGCTCACACCTGGGATCCTAGATACTCAGGGCTGAGATCTGAGGATCTCAGTTCAAAGCCAGACCAGGCAGGAAAGTCTGTGGGACTCTTATCTCCAATAAACCACTCAGAAAACCAGAAGTGGGGCCATGACTCAAGTGGTAGAGTGCTTCCCTTGAGCTGAAGAGCTGAGGGACAGCATCCAGGCCCAGAGTTCAGGCCCCACGACTGACAAAAGAAGGCTGAGGGGCAGCGCGCAGGCCTGGACTTCAAGTCCCACAACCAACAAAAAAAGTTAAAACTGCACCACCATGCCCAGCCCCTCCCGGCCTCCTCTCATTCAGTTTTTGTTCTCCAGCACTAGGGCTGGAGCTTGGGGTGAGCTGCACCCCCAGCTTGGTGGTGAATTTTGATCCCATCTTGGCGGGGGGGGGGGGGGGGGGGGGGGGGGGGATCTTGATGGTCAGTTTTGACCCCCGGCTTGCTATCCCTGTTCCAGAATTCTGAGGTGAAAATTTTGTCTCAAAGCTACTTTCCTTGCGCACCCCCCCCTCCCGCTCCCCCCCAGCTGGTGTGAGACGCCTGCCTGTGGGTAGACCTTGCCCTGAGGGCTTCCCTGCTGTGCCCCTGTCCTGAACTGAACCCTGACTGAGCACCATCTCCTCCTCCCCCCGGCGGCGGGGTGTCCTCTCCCAACCTCAGATGCCCACCACGGGCGGCCGGCTGGGCGGGGCCCGGGGTGGGCGGGGCCCCGGGGTGGGCGGGGCCTGCCGGGGTGGGCGGGCGGGGCCGGAGAAGCCCTCCAGCCGGGCCGCGGTCTGTGTGAACGCTGAGCTCTCACCGTGGGGCAGGTGTTCGGTCCCGGATGAGATCGCATCCGGAGGTGGCTTCAGTTCTTTACCAACTCAAAGTGAGGTTTCCGAGGCGGCACGGGGCGGGGGGGCAGGTCGGGGGGGGGGGGTCGGGCCGGGTCGGCGGGTCCGCGCTCCCCCCCCAGGCGCCGGCCGCCCGCGCGCTCCCGGCGCTGCATTAATGGGACCGCCCCCCCCCCCCCCCCCCCGCGGCTGCGCGCCGGCGCCTAACGCCTGTGGCTCCTTCAGCTCTTGCACAGCTGAAGCCTTCTCCACAGAATGTTCCAGCTGTGTGTGTGTGGGGGGGGGGGGGTTCCGTCGGTGCACAATTCAGAAGGCCAGAAGAGCGGCCGGGGTCCTGGCCCAGCCTGAGGGCGGAGCGCCGGCCGGGCCGGAAGGAAACGCGGAGCGCAGCGCATGCCCCGGGCCGGCCCCCCCCCCCCCACACACACGGATCAGACCCGTGCCTCCGGCCCCATCCACACCCCCATCCTGCTTGTATCTCGGTCCTGTCCGTCCTTCTGGTCCTGCCCGTCTGTGTGTCTGTCGCTGGCCCCAGGCCGTGCATGCGGCCCGCACTGCCCTGTGCGGCCCCTGGAGTTACCCTGGGGTCCCGGCCCTCGAACCTTTGTCGGCCCGTGAATCTCAGCCCTGCGGGGGGGGGGGGGGGTGTAAAGCTATGAAGGCTGGTTCTGCGGGGGGGGGGGCGGGCCACACCGCTGATGTGCAGCGTGGAACTGGAACCGTGGGGTCTGGGCGTGGATCTAAGGGGGGCGATGAGGGGGGGGCGGCCCACACCGCTGATGTGCAGCCCGGAACTGGAACCGTGGGGTCTGGGCGTGGATCTAAGGCCGGGTGGGACTGAGGAGAGGTGAAGATTTCACTACGAAACCCGGGGACCCAGTGCTGGTGGCTGTAGTCCTGGCTCTTCGGGGACTGAGGGTAGAGATCTGAAGCCAGCCCAGCCGGGAAAATCTGTCAGACTTTTTTTTTTTTCCTGGGCCTGGGTGCTGTCCCCGAGCTGCTTTTTGCTCAAGGCTAGTAGTACCCTACCGCTTGAGCCACAGCACCACTTCTGGCTTTTTCTGGATTAATTGGAGATAAGAGCGTTACAAACTTTCCTGCCCAGGTTGGCTTCAAACCACCATCCTCAGATCTCAGCCTCCCGAGTAGCTAGGGTTAAAAGTGTGAGCCATGGGCACCCAGGGTGTGAGACTTAGCTCCAATTAAGTACCCAAAAGTCAGAAGTGGAGGTATGGCTCAAATGGTAGAGGTCTCAGTTCAAGCCTCAGGTCTGGCGCACTCACACACATGCACACACACACACACACACAACAGAAGCCCCGGGAAGGGGTTGCACACAGAAGTGTATTCACTCAGCAACAGGTGAGTTCAAGCCCCAGGACCGGTACAAGAAAAAGGAAAGGAAACCCACCTTGAATGCCAATACAAAAGGGAAGACAAATAGAGACACCGTGTAAAAGAAGGCTCAGAATGATCGTCCAGGAGAGCCGTCCCTGGACCCTTGGTAGAGGATGCACATTCAGCCGAGTGTGTGCCCTGGTTGTGCTCCTGACTTTATTTACCTAGGAGGCATGTCCTCATTGAGCTGGAGGAGCTGCCTCTGGGGAGATGAAGCCAGCCGTGCCGGGTGCCTGTGGTCAGGGCCGCTGTGTGGTTGGTGGCTAGGTGCCGCCGCCTCCCTGGCAGCTCAGCGCTTCCTCCGGGCAGCCCTGGTTGCTCGGGACTCGCGGGCGCGGGCGCCCCTGCTGGCCACTCTGGGCAGCGCGGCTGGCCTGAGCCCTAGGAAATGCAATGTTCAGCAGTGACCAGAATGGAACACCACCGAGTGAGGCCGAGGAACACACGGCCACGAGAAGTTTCACAGCTGCGGGAGTTTTGCCCGCCGTGGCCAGGTCGGGGTGGGCAAAGCTGCCCGACCTTCAACCCCAGCCCCTGTTTACTACGAGTGTGACCTTGCTGAGTTTCTGCAGCTCTCTTTTATAAGCGATGAAAACGTTTATTGTCATTTATTACTGCAAGGCTGGCGGAAGGGGCCCAGGGCCTCGATCCGCACCCAGCCCGTCTGTGGGGAAGTGGTGGTTGGGGTGGTTAGAGAGGTTAACTATCTCCAGCAGGAGGCTGTTCACCGGGGGTCCAGGCAGCTGAGCCGGGTACTCAAAACACAACACGCCTCTCTCCATGGGCCTTGGTATCCCCCCCAGCCATGAGCTGGGGGACATGGGGGCGGGGGGAGGGAGACGAGAGGCGTGCTTGCTTCCACCCCCCACTGTCTCCTCACCCCCCTCTGCCCACCTCACATGCATCTTCCCCAACCATAGCCTCGCTGATGAGATCCCTCTTGCTGCCAAGGTCACGGGCCTGGGTGAAAGGTCATGAGGAGCAGGTCACCGTGGAAGGCTGCTCTGCACCCACAGCTAGTGCCCGGTTTGGGGAAGGGGCGTCTCGTGAGGCGCGCCCAAGGGCTTCCAGCCCCCTCACATCCCCAGGTGGGGCCCAGGACCCGAGGGGCGGGCGGGAGCCAGGCTGATTATCAGCCCCTCCCAGGCCCAGCTGATCCACAGCTTTACTTAAAATCCCCGCAGCTGGGCCCCAAAATCCTCAGCGTCCAGAAAGCTCGCCGGGAGAGGCTTGTGGGGCTGAAGCTCCCTGGACCCGCCGACCCCTGGGGCAGGAAGGGGTCCAAGCTGCCTCCTGCCACGTGGGCAGCAGCCCTCTCAGCGGGGATCCCCGAGTCCTGAAGACCAGGAACGGGAAGGGAGGGGCATCGCCCCCTTCCCTGGCCGGGGGCAGAGGCCGTGGGAGCCGGGACGGGGCGCCGGGAGTG